GTTAAACCTTGAACCACATTCAGGCCTCCGACCTCTGAGGACGACGATTTGTCGAAACGTTAGGCCGATTCAATAAACGTTCCACCTATCAACCTCGTATGGCACATAAAACAAACACAAACAAGAACAACTGATGACTGTAAGCTTACTTCAGTCCGGTACCATTCATACCGTAAACCAAAACATCCATGAAGAAAATGCGGCACACACAGGTTACATCGGATTTCACGCCGGGTACGTGTGCTAGGACGCAGCGCGCGTGCACTTATTTGCAAATTTCGTCGTCAGGTTAACTGGAAAGCGCGCTAGCAAATTTTCTATGAATCCGTCGGGAAACTTGGGGTGATGTGTGCATTGCAGATGAGTTTACGTCAAGTTACTGTATAAATGGTACCGGACTGAAGTTAGCTTACAGTCAACTGATGCCGAGGTTACAAGAAGAGAGGAGTTGGAGAGTACTGATTCCAGTATTTTTCTCATGAAGTTGGAGGAGAAATACGTTGTCAACTGACCCCGGGATGTGAAATATAAAGCAATTCAAGAATAAAACCAACCAAAAATACCGCTTTCAAGTTGACCGCGACAACGTCATCGAAGTTTTTCTCAGTCATTTTCAACAATGTCGAGTCCTAAACTGAAATGAATCGCATGTAAACACAAAAACAATTACCTAATGATGACTTCTTGATCAAATCCGAGCTTACTTTCCACCATTGTAGCGGTTATGAAACACAGCTTCGCCATGTCGTAATCATTCAGCTATTGATCAAGATTCGCTTACCCTGGTTATTCCTGCACAATTGACCACAATGTTGGGAGACTTGGCATTCTGTTTGAGGACGAATTCATGAAGTCGAGCCACTTCTTCAAACTGAAAGATGGATACAAAAAGTTAAACAAAAACTGAAATGCATGAATAAGAAGTTAACTACTTACTGAGTCTATGGTAAGTTATAATGAAAAACACACCTTGCTCACATCACAGGAAAAGGAGGTATGATCGGCCGAAGTGCCTAAAAATATTGCACTACTAATGAAAGCGGAGGAAAAGGAGAACTAAAATGGAAAAAGAGAGCTTTCATGACAACTGTTTCACCACCATCCTTGCGCTGTCCACAGAGCCGCTATCGGTGATATAGCGCCTACACGGACAGAGCCTTGATTACTTCGGTGTCGGTTGCAGGCAACTAAGTGGCTTAAGGGGACAAACCAATTATAAGCATATTAATAAGAACCCATATGCAATACATAGCTTCCATTCATAGACCTCCACGATCCGAATGGAAGTCGAAGCCGCAGTCCAATAAAAGATTGCAAAAGGCAATAATTTTAAGTATGGACTTCCAGTCTGTGTTGAAAAAACGCACATGCGACACGGCTGAATATGAGCAACATCACACAATAACCTGCTTTATACCATGCCCACGAACTCTCTACTGCAACAAAATTAACGAGAGGGGTTGGGAGTAGAAGGATTGTAGTAGAATAATGAACAAAAGCACCCTTTCAGTCCATTTACTCTGCTCCTTTGCCTTGTTTCTAAGCGTGTGCGTGTGTTATGAATCACAGATGCACTTAAAGGCAGCGATTACGATAGGTTCAAGAAGGGTTTAGAGGAGACGTGGTGGTGCTCAATGGTACGTCGGTGGCGAAAAAAAGCAGGGAAATCCGTCAAAAAACGCAAAATGGGACCCCTTTTTTGGCCGTTGGTTTTCACTAGCTATCAGGACCAAAACAGCTGCATCTTACTTGGATATCCCCTCGCTGCTGACCTCAGAACAGGCTGGAGTGAATGCATTTCTTCCGAAGTGAAAATGACATGATTGAAACAACAATTTCTGTAACAAACTCACTAATTTTCTTTACTGTTTCTTGAGCGGCATCCTTGTTTAAGTCAACAACGACGAGCTTCGCCCCATGCTGGGCCAAACGATGGCAAATGGCACGTCCGATCCCTGATGCTCCACCTAAACCAACAGAATAATGATGACGG